GCCCACATTTTCTACGTGCTTAATCTGACTTGCACCAAATGTTTGTGTGGGCCTCTGGCAGGCAGCAAGTCTAAGAGAGTCCAGGCCAGACACATGATTCTGTATGAGTCGCTTATGTGTCTTCCTTTTGTTGCATATTTCCAAGCATGGGGATAAAATTAAGTGAGCACAAGAATTCAAGATTCCAGCATGATATTTACAGTCACACGTACAGGATCAGCTTCCATCCTCGATGTCTTCTCATGTCCTTCCAACACTGCATCTCCTTTCCCCTAATGATGTTACTCTAACACATTTCCTTGGGGGTCCTTGCTTTTGTGCTTAGACCTTGCCAGATGCCAGGTGTGTGGAGAGCTGCTGCCCAGGACTTTTCAAGCTGATTGTGGAAGCAAAGCCCATTTGCTGCTATGACTGCGCTCCCTGCCCAGAAGGGGCCATCTCCATTCTGGAAGGTGAGTAATTATGGAAGAACATCCAGCCTCCACTAAAGTGGGCATTCTGGCACATCCTGCTAAGGAAGGATAGACCCTGCAGAGAATCCTACTTAGTGTAGAGGACTGTTCTCTCCCACTTTCTCCAGTTTGCCATCTGGCAACAGTTTGTATCTTAAGCTCCCTTGTGGCATGCTCTGCTTCTCATAATCCTTTCTCCCCTCATTGCATCAACCGCTTTGCTTGCTATTAGTCCACTTCACATTAAAAGCATCATTTGCCTTAGCTGGTTACAGGTGGGATGCTTTCTGGCCCCCTGCTCTGATCTGTACCTTGGCTGGTCAAAAGCTGCCTGTTCTTTCCATGAAACCAGGATTTATTTATTTATTTATTTGGGGAACTTCTATGCCGCCCCATTCGCCAAAGCCTTGGGGCGGCTCACAAGGATCCTTTTTCTTCTCCTGCTGTGCCTTGAGTTCTGCAGTGTGACCTGTCCCTCTTGCCCGAGCCCCTCCTCTACCCTTTGAGAACCCTGCTTCAGCTTAATGGCAGTCTCATGAATTTCTCCTAACTCCCTTCACTGTTACTTTGAAGCCACCCACAAGAATCTCCCCAGTTCCCCCAAGGAGCACTGCTCTGGGGTCTGGAAGGAGAACTCCGTTGAGGATGGCACCACTGGGCTCTTCTCAGGGACTGTGCCAGGTGGGTTGCAGTGTACAAAAGCATGCTTCTCTCATTTTGGATTGGAGCTGTGAGTCCACAAGGGAAGGATGTGAAAGGGGAGGCACTGCTGGGGAGGGGACCAAGCTGGGAATGCTCATCTTCAACAGAAGCTACACATTTAATGGATCCTTATATGTCATAAGTGCCACTGCTCCAACCCACCCATCTTCCCAGCAACTGGGACACTGAGGTATCATTCCTCTGCTCTGGAGTAACATATTCCCATCAGGGCTCAAAGTCCTGGGAAGCTGCCTTCTCCATAAATTGGCCCAGCAACCTCCTCAAGTCTCCTAGATCTCTGGTTCTTTCTTTATTTTCTGAAAGAGAACACCCTAGTTTAAAAATCTGCTATATGAAGATAGACTGTCTTTCTTTGGGCAAGTGAGAATGTCCCACCACTCAGCAGCATAGGATGACCTCAGGAACTCTTGTTATGAGGGAGGAAGCAATCACAGGTTGAACAAGGTTTTGAAGAACCCACCCGGTGTTAGGGTGGTTCTTCCCCAAAATCAAGCCACATTGGGCAGGGGACTAGTTTCCCGGGTCAGAAAGCCCAATCTGGGTAGCTTCACTGCCAAGCATCTTTCAGATAGGAAGATTGTGTAGCTGGTAAAAGAGACACAACAAGTATTGTTAGCCCCTGGCCTCAACAGACAAACTGGCTAGGAAAAGAGGGAATATTCCAGAGGAAGATGGGTAAGCAATACCCATAAAAGGATCCATGAATGCTTTGGGGGCCAGGGACTCCTCATGCCCATCTTCGTATTCTAAAGGCAGGGGAGTGAGAGTTGTTGGCATGGGAGAATGAGAGTTGTTGGCATGGGAGAATGAAGAAGCCCACCAACTTTGACTGAACCTGCAGGGTTGCCTGCTAAAAATCCTTATCTGAGAGTAAAAAACAGATTCCTAAGGGTGAAAGGTAAACATTTCTTTTTCTCTTTCCAGATGCTGACCTTTGCAGCTTGTGTCCAGATGATCAGCATCCGAACAGGAACCGAAATCAATGCATTCCCAAGACAATCACCTTCCTGTCCTATAAAGATTCTCTTGGACTTGCCCTGGCTTCCACGGCTCTAATGCTCTCCTTATTCACAGGGTTTGTGCTAGGAATCTTCATTAAATTCCGAGAAACCCCAGTCGTCAAAGCCAACAATCACAACCTCTCCTACATTCTTCTGGTTGCCCTCCTGGTTTCCTTCTCCTCCTCCTTCCTCTTCATTGGCCAGCCAAGCAAGGTGACCTGCCTTCTCAGACAAACAGCCTTCAGCATCATCTTCACAGTTGCTGTCTCTTCTCTCTTAGCCAAAACCATCACTGTGGTCTTGGCCTTCTTGGCCACCAAGCCAGGCAACAGGGCCAGAAAGTGGTTAGGGAAGCCTTTGGCTAACTCCATTGTCATGTTCTATTCCAGCATCCAAGTGGCCATCTGCTGCATCTGGTTGGGAACCTCTGCTCCCTTCCCTGACTTAGACATGCACTCCCAGCCTGGACACATCATTCTGAAGTGCAATGAAGGCTCTGTGGCCATGTTCTACATTGTGCTTGGCTACATGGGCTTCCTGGCTGCCGTCTGCTTCATGGTGGCTTTCCTGGCCAGGAAGCTTCCAGGGGCATTCAATGAGGCCAAGGTGATCAGCTTCAGCATGCTGGTCTTCTGCAGTGTCTGGGTGTCCTTTGTGCCCACCTACCTGAGCACCAAGGGGAAATACATGGTGGCAGTGCAGGTCTTCTCCATTTTGGCCTCCAGTGCTGGCTTACTGGGTTGCATTTTTCTTCCCAAGTGCTACATTATTGTCTTGAAGCCTGCTTTGAATAAGAAGGAGCATCTCATGATCAAAACAAAAGATGGCATCCTGACCTAGCAAGGAATAGGGGAGCAGGGAAGGAATCCACCCTCTCTACCATCTGAATAAGCAGCATAAGATCAGAGGCTGGCAAAAAATGAAGTACTCCCATAGGTTGCTTCTAGTTCTAGGAATAGGGTGCCCAGAAATACATGCATATATTTCCCTTCTTCTGTTTTGGCTGGGCAAAAAGGAATGGGTGTATCATTGGCATCTCTTGGTGCTGTTTTTCCTTTTCCTGGGGAAGGAACTAGAATGGAAAAACCCTGTACATGGAGGGTGGGGGTGGGGATGCAGAGAACAGGTGAGACTCACCATACTTTAAAACATAAAACTTAAAACATTTATTAGGGCATCTCCAACAATCAATTTCTTTGCTTGAATGTATTTCCGAATCCTTCAGCAAGTTGTAAATTCTACTGGATTAGTGCCAAATCAGTGCTAATATTTTTCAGGATCTGTGGGAACGTCCATGAAAGAGACCATGGTAAATGGATACCCACATAGGCCTGCTAGGGGGAGATTAGTTCAAGGGCAGCCCAGAGGCATGAGCAACCTGCTCGTGGTAATGGGGGAAAAGGAAAGCATCTCAAGAGAGGAGATTCAGGAATGGGGAATCTATCAGATGGGAACTTCCACATCCTGGAAAGGTGGATCTCATACATGGTCATCACAGTTTCCTGTAAAATAAAGATTTTTGACAAAACATCTCTGGTGAGCCTATTACTTCTGGATTGTGAAGCACAGCTCATGACAGTTGGAAACTAGAAATGTGTTCACTCACCAGTTCCCATAGAAAGATACACACCTAGGCTTCCTCTGCTTAATTTTGTCAAGCAGGTATGGTTCTGATGAGGATATCTATTTCCTAACAGTGCCCATGTTCTATTGGACCAATGCTGGATGCATGCAGTCCCAGCAAACACACACAAAAAGGGAGGGAGGAATGATGCAAGCACTGGGGAATTAGGAATGAGCACTGGAACATATTCAAAGGGAAAAAATGTTTTCAGAAGGAAAAATAGGAGGGGAAAAAAGAGAAAAGAGGTGCAAATTTCCTCTGCCCTCAGTCCATCTGGCATGAGCCTGGCAGGAGTTGGGAAGAAACAGTTCCTCCATCCAGGACTATTACTCCTTCAGGTGGAATCAATGTGTGTCCCATCCCTGGAGCTGAGCCTGGGTGACACAGAACATGTTATTCTGTCTTGCAAAGATGGCAGTGGTATGGGTTAGCAATGCCCTGAGTTGAACCTCCAGACACTCTGATATGCTCTCCAAAAGCAGGAAGGAGAAAACTAAACACACACACACACACACACAATGTTTGCTGGGCCAAATTCCTTTCCTAAGCAGGAGATTCTGTCAGGATAATTGCCTGGGGGAATGAAACGGGGAGGTGCTGGACTGGGGTGGCCTACAGCAATTGTGTGATGAAGCTGGTCAGCCAGTCAAGGTCTATTACAAAGCACACATGCAAAAGTGTATCTCACTCCTGGTTCACTATAAGGAGCAGCATCCAGTTCTCAAAACATTTTTTTCTCCAGTGGTATACATGTGCATGGAGCAATTTCTAGAGTTCAAGAATGGAAGAGGAGTCCCACCTTCATGAACTCATAATTATGGAAATCATAATGCTTTACTGGTTTTCTTGCTAGAGCTCTTGGGATCCCCTCCCTGAAAAATACCACCCTTGAGTTCAGCTTTGTAAACATGGAATTCCCAAACAACAGGAGGCACTGACTTGCTTCCAGGTGCAAAAGAGAAGGCACATGAAGGCTTCTTTTTTTCCCTGAGAGCTTAGGAGAAGCTCCAGAGCTAGTGACGAGGCCTTGGTGCATGTGACATCTGCTCTTCCCCCTCTGGGGAGACCTCAGCTTGACCTCTGTCTCTGTCTGGAGAGCCAGTGGAGCCTCGCTCTGCAAGGGGACTTCAACCGCTCCTGCCACTTCTCATCATTCTTCAGAGGCAAATCAAAAAGGAGGCCACTCCTGGCAGAGCCAGAATGATGCTGTTCTTCCTGCTGCTGTTGCTGCTGCTGCTGCTGCTTCTTCCAGAGTCCTCCTGTGGGATGGAGAAGGCCAGATGCCCCTGGATCTGGCACAGGGATGAGGTTCAGCACCTGAATCATTACAGGCCAGGAGACTATGACATTGCTGCAGCCATCTCTGCAATGAATGCTGATTTTGTTCCACATACTTTCAAGAAGCCTGCCTCTGATGGACCATTGGAGTAAGTCACTGAGCTGGTTCAGATGATCAGACAAAGTGCATGGCCAGCTAGGTGGTGGGTTGTTTAGTCACACAAAGCCAGCATTTTTCAGAAACACACCAGCATGAAGAAATCATGGTCAGCTGTGCAGAGGGCTCCTCCTTTTCCATTGGCATTTTGCTTCTGGCTTTGCCATGGGATCTGTGTCAGTATGTGGAAAGCCATAGAAACACGGCGAGTGCATAATATGCATACATGTGTGTGTCTGTGTGTGCGTATGAGACTACCCAGAACAACAGCTGAAGAACATAAAAATTTGTAGTGGATGGGGTACTGACATGGCACATCTTGTTTTTTCCCAGTATACGAGCCACACTTTACTGGAAGATCCTCTCCTTCTTGTTTGCCATTCAAGAGATCAATGAGAATCCCAGTCTCTTGCCCAACATCACCCTGGGCTATGACATCTATGAAAGCTACGAAAATGCTAGACTGACTTCTGATGCAGCCATAGATCTGCTTTCAACTCGTCAGGCCCATGTTCCCAACTACAAGTGTGGCAGACGACAGCAACTGGTGGTTGTCCTTGTTGAATCAGACTCTGAAAACTCCAAGCATATTTCATATCTGTTGGGCATCTACAAAATTGGACAGGTGCATGGACAACATTTACAGGGTCAATCTACATTTACTTGGCATTTTGGCTAGGATAAATTACCATTTTTTCCACAGAACCTCTCTTGATATTTCCCATGCCATGAACATGGGCATTTCAGAGAAAGAGCTGCTAGAGAAAGGGAAAGGCTAAGATGAAAAGAAAGGCCAAATAAGAGATGGATGGATTCTATAGAGAAAACAGCTGACTTGAACATGACAGAGCTGAGCAAGGCTGTCATGGACAAGATATTTTGGAAGGTTTTCCATCCTTGGAATTCCCAGATGCCAGAGATCACTTGATGCCACATAAAAACACACCGAGATCACATTGCAGTGAGTTCAAACTGCCTCCCCTCCATTCCTCACACAAGTATGCACTTCTACATTAATAGCCCCATGTTGTCTACTCTGAAGGAGAAGTTCTGATTTGATTTTCAAATCAAGTAAGCAAAATCATGGGCACTTTTCTTATATTTTATATGCACAAAGCTCCCAGAGATAGGGACTACATGAAGATTCCAGGAAGGCAGAACAATGCAACTTCTGTGATTTAGTGTGGTACAGTGGTTAAGCACTGGGGGACTAGATCTCAGGTAACCTAGGCTCTAGTCCCCACTTGGCCATGGAGCCAACTGGATGACTTTAGGACAGTCACAGACTCTCAGCCCAACCTACCTCCCAGGCTTCTTGTTGTGGGGATAGGATTGAGACCAGCAGAAGCAGAATGATACAAGATATTTCAAGTTCATAAGAAAAAAAGTAGAATATAAATCTATTAAAAAACATTTGCAAGTTCATCCCTTTGAATCAAGCATAATCCTACTGCTGTAAAAGTGGGTTGATCATTGGAGACTTTATTCCACTGTGGAGAATTGGGAGATGCAAGAGTGTTCAAGCTATTTGAGGCATGCATTTTCTGTGTTTTACACTTAAGAAGGCTAAATATTTTCACAAAGGAAGGAAGGAAGACAATTGCTTGTTAAGAGGTGTATCTTTATGAGACAAAGAAAATAAATTTGATTCAGAAATGCATCCATCAATCTCTTCCTTTCTTCCCCAGGTCACTTATGCTTTTGATTCTCAGGTCCTGAGTGATCAAACTCAGTCTCCTTTTCTCTATCACATGCTCCCCAGAGAAGGGGTCCAGTATGTGGGGATCGTCAAACTCCTCCTGCATTTCAGATGGACCATGGTTGGGCTCTTTGCTTTAGACAATGATAATGGAGATAAGTTCATGAGAACTTTGGCATCTGAGTTCCTCAGGAATGAGATTTGTGTGTCTTTTTCATACACTTTTTCAGAAATGAAATCAATTTCTCCAAAGATCCGTCAAGTTTCATTGCAGAAGTTGGAACAAATCCATGTTTTTGCATATTGTGCAGAGACTAGTTCATTATTGCTTGGAATACATCTCGTGCAGCTAGCATTGAAAAGGATGAAGCCCATCACAGGGAAAGTCTGGATCACCACAGCAATGTGGGATTTTACTGTGGAATTTGTGTATGATGATTTCTATTACCATCATATCCATGTTTTTTTTTTCTTTCATTCTCCAGGCAAATAAAAGTATGAACTATGCATATTTTCTATCCTGTTGGTTTGCTATGAAAGTATTTTGGAAAAAATTATTTGACTGCTCATATTTAAAGCATGTGGTGTCCGTGAAAGGGTTGACAAGATGCAGAGAGAATGGGAATGTGAAGGCCCTGCCTGGAGACGATGTGCAGAATACACTAGCTATGGACAGCTACTTCTCTTGCAACACTGTCCAGGCTGTGGCCCGGGCCTTGGATGCTGCCTTTTCCTCCAGATTCAAAAGGCTGCAGCTTGAGGGAGGACATGGGCTTGATGTGCAAAGCCTTCAGCCATGGCAGGTATTCTGTATTCCATTTCAAACCTTCCTGAAGGGTATTGTAATAATATTGTATGAGTGAAGAGTCGAACTAGTACAGAAGCAAGAAGTTACAAACTCAGAAGGGTCTTACAGCCATCTGGTATACCCTCTCTGCAGGTCTCTCTGATTCTCTCTTTCCCTGAATTCAGAGGATGCCATCCATCTGGCAGGGTCCCCCACACTTGGCTCAAGACATCCTGCTTGAGGGTGAGGAGTCATAGAGGCCTATACTCAAATCCATCTGGGAAGTCAATTAATTTGACTTGGAAAACAGCAGGCAGCTGCAAGGGTTTTGTGTGGCTAATTCTTGAATTGCAGCTTGTTTTTGAAATGCAGGGTATCATGTTGTTTAAAGCTGAGTGACTTATTAAACCATGGTGGAAAGCTGTGTTTTATCTCAGCTGGGTTCAGACCACTTGAAAATGCATGATAATACATGTTTCAGCAATGGCCCACAGTTCAATGTTACTCTACACTCAACTCATACTAAGCCTTTGAGTGTGGGTGATCACATCTTCTGACTTTGTATGTACTGAAGGATGCCCAGTTAGTTGTCCATGTGAGTTCATGTGCTGTCTACTTGCTTATGTTTAGAACTTTTCATTGTCCAGATTGAACTTCTCCCATCTCCTGAATCACATGTTGCATTAAAGTTGTCGTTGACATTCAGAAAACAAGCTTTCTGTGCTGAAAATATTACTTTAGTTAATTTGGACATTTTAACATCTGTGGCAAGATACTCAGATTCTTCTCCATCCATAAGCCAGATGAGAAATTTCCAGTCCAGTCCTCTGTGAGTGTATAGTTGAAGGAACTGGCAGGTAAGTCTGTACAGCCTGACCACTGGGTGCTTCTTTAAAAATGCTAAAATACCCCCTGAAGAAGCTGTTTTATTCTTTCCCTGAAGGTAAGACTTGGCCCATGTTCCAGAACAGATTTCCATATTTAGAGCAGAAAGTTTTTCTTGCTCACTTCCAAGGGCATTCAGAGATAAAATTGGGGTACGTACACACTTGAAAATACAATGGGGCCTCTTCAATTTAGTACCAGGCAGGAGCGAAAAGGGAAAATTGCGGAATCCAGAATGGCTTCATCTTTCCTCAGTGCTGGCGCTGTCCCTCCATTCTAGCGCCACCCTTTCCTGAGAAACCCCCAGTTTCACAATCATTCCATGGATGGAGTGTATTTTGATGAGAAGGGGAACCTGGCAGCTGACTTGTACATTGTCAACTGGGTGAAGTTTCCTAACAGGTTGGTCTTCAGAGTGAAACTAGAAAGTATAGAAAGGCAAGAGCTGTCTGGACCCAAATGCACCAAGAAGCCATCATGGCCCAAATGGCTCAACTAGGTAAAGAAAATCATGCCCTCATTTCATTCTTTTTTTCCATCAAACACAAGAATTTGAGAAGGGATGCACATCAGACTGATATTCTTGGGCTTCAGTTTACTTAGAGGCAGCAATGTGCAAGGAATCCCATCTGGGAGAGGGAATCCATCAGATTTCTCTGGCTCAGCTTTTCAGACTCCAGTCAACTTTCTCTATGCCCCATATCTACCTTGAACCAAGTGTTTGTGTAGGCATCTGACAGGAAGCAATGCCAGGAGAAGTCAGTCACATTCTTGTGCACATATGACGTGTGTGTATTTGCCTCTTCACATACCAGAGGGTGACATTCCAGCCCAAATATCACAACCTAAGTTGCAGGATCAGCTTCAGTCCTCTGTCCTGTCCCTTCCAATGCTGCCTCTCTGTTTTCCCAATGAAGTAGCTCTAACACATTTTCTTGGGGTTCCTTTGTTCTGTGCTCAGCCCCTGCCCAAAGCCAGGTGTGTGGAGAGCTGCCGCCCAGGTTTCTTCAAGGTGGCTCAGGAAGGAAAGCCTGTTTGCTGCTATGACTGTGCTTCCTGCCCAGAAGGGGTCATATCCACTCAAGAAGGTGGGTGACTACAGAGGAAAATCCAGCCTACAGGGAGAGGGAAATAATCCTCCTAAAGAGTGGGCATTCTGGCATATCTTCCTAAGGAATGAAACAAACTACAGAGAATTCTCCACAGTGTAGAGGACTTTTTCAATCTCCAATCATCTGCTTACAAATAGAAAACATCCCAAGCTCCTTTATGGCATGGTCTGCCTCCCATAATCCCTTGCCCCCTCATAGCATCAGCTGTCTTGTCTACTCCTGGTCCACTTCACATTAGGAGCATCATCTGCCTTAGCTGGCTCCTGGTGGGGTGCTTTCCCATCCTCTGCTCCAATTCAGCCCCTTGCCTGCTTGAATCCTGCTGTTTTTTTCCGTGTATCCAGAATCACTTTCCTTCTCCTTCTGTGCCTTGAATTCTGCATTGTGTCCTGCCTCCTTTCCCCAGCCCCTCCTCAACCCCTTGAGACCCCTGCTCCAGCTTAAGGGGCAGTCTTGCAAGGGATGTCTCCTAACTCCCTCCACTGCTGCTATGAAACCACCCACAAGGGTCTCCCCAGTTCCCCCATGGAACACTGCTCTGGGTTGTGGGAAGAGAACTCTGCACAGCAAAAGGGGCTTTGGGAACCTTTGGTCGGTGCCACATGGCTCTTCTCAGGACACTGCTGGGTGGGTTGCTTTGTCTGAAAGCCTGCTTCTGGTGTTTGGGGAGAGGGCTGCAAGTCCTCAAGGGAAGGTTATGGGGGGGGGCTTGCTGGGAGGGGACCAAGCCATGAATGCTTCTCTTCAAAAGATTGTAGAAGTTTTGGGGAGTTTTCTATGGTGTAAGTGCTGCAGCTCCACCCCACCCCTCTTCCCAGCAACTGGAACACAGAGACATCCCTCCTCTGCTCAGGAGCCAACATATCCCCATCAAGCTCACAAACCTTTTGCAAGCTGCCTTCTCCACAAATTGGTCTGGAAACCTTTTCAAGACTCCTAGATCTGGGGTTCCTCCTTCATTTTCTGGAAGGGAATGCCATAGTTGAAGAACCTGCAGTATGGAAGGTGACTGTCCTTTTTCTGGGCCAATGAGGATCACCCTGTAATCAGTAGCATAGAATGACCTCAGGCACTGGTGTTATGAAGAATGAAGCAAGGAAGGCTGAATAAGGCTTTCAACAGTTGTCATAGAGGTTTTTCCCCCAAATCAAGCCAGATGGGGAAGTGGGTTGTTTCCTCATCTGAAAGTCATTCCAAGTAGCAGCCCGCGAAGGGTTTATATGTAGCAAGTTATTATTCGTATTCTGCAAAGCTCTTCCCTAGGCTATATCTACAATTGGACCCCCTCTTGAAATATCCACAATTTGTTTTGCTGTGCAAGTTGCAAGCAACATCTTGGAGAATGGCTTTAGGTGGGGAGAGGGGCATGTGCCACCAGAGATCTTTCGTGAATTTTTCTCTTTCGGAGGCATTTCTATCTTTCTTGCACTATCCACAAATGGTTTCACAAAGTGGATATCCCAGAGGAATGTTGGTGGTGGATGTTTCTTCTACTCTGGTGGGTGAGGCAATGTGCCTTTGCTAACTACCAAATGTGTTGTGTCCTCTAGGATTCCAACTGGTAGATTTACCCCACTTCTATAAGTATGAGAAATGCTTCTTTCATTTTCAGAGGAGATTTGCATGCGCTTTAATGGCATTTTTGAAAATATGAATGTCTCACTAATGTAAATAAGAACATAAGAAGAACTTTCAATATGCCCATGATTTTTAACTGCAGTGTAGCCTTTCCTAGGAAATTCCATGCTTTCACTCTGCCTGTATGAAAAAGGACATCCTTTCCTCCATCCTGAATTGTCCAATATTCAGAGGCACCATTGCTGGACTAGGCAGCAGGGAATAGTCCCTCTTTGCCCAAACTATTGTGCCTTTATTTATGTTGAACAATAAATTGTACCCTTCACATAACTTGCTACAGCATTGGACTTGCATGACATGTTGGCACTCTTGCTCTGCTCCACTGCTTTGTCTGCCCCATCTGCAAGCTTGGTTGGGAACAACACATCTGGACAGGATCTGGACAGTCATCTGAGTGGGATAGTGTATCCTATGTCCTGCAACAGCAGGGTGTTGAACCCCAATGTCTTCTGGCCCTTTTCATATCTCTCCTGTTCTCTGATTATCTGAATCTCTGAACACACCACTTCAGCCACACAGAACAGTTCCCATTGGGAAGCCTCCAGGCAGGTATGTCCCTTGGAGCTCACCATCATTCAGATAGGAAGACTGTGTGGACTGCAAAAGAGGCACAGCCAGTGATCTGAGCCCCTGGTCAAGTGCTCTTCAGCCTAATGAGACTTCGAATGACAAATTGACTACAAAGGAGAGAAATATACCAGGGGAGGATGGCTGAGCAAAACTTCTAAGGGAGTCTGGGAAGGTTTTGGGGACCACCAACTCCCCATTCTCAACTTTGGATTCTAAAAACAGGAATCATAGAATATGCAGTGTTGCCATATGGGAATGAGGAAGCTCAGCTGGGCCTGCAAGAAAATGTTTTGTGTTCCAAGACTTTCCTGCTCAAAATCCTTGACAGAACCTGAGGAACTCAGCTTTCCAAGGAAGATGTTTCTCTTTTTATTCCAGATGCAGACCATTGCACCATGTGTCCAGAGGATCAGCATCCAAACAAGAACAGAAATCAATGTACCCCCAAGTTAATCACCTTCCTGTCCTATGAAGATTACCTTGGAATCACCCTGGCTTCCATACCTCTAATACTATCCTTTTTCACAGGACTTGTGTTAGGAACCTTCATCAAATTCCGGGAAACCCCAGTTGTCAAAGCCAACAACCATGACCTCTCCTACATTCTTCTGGTTGCCCTCCTGCTTTCCTCCTCCTCCTTCTTCCTCTTTATCGGCAAACCCAGCAAGGTGACCTGCCTTCTACGACAAGCAGCCTTCAGCTTGATCTTCTCAGTTGCCATCTCTTCTCTCTTAGCCAAAACCATCACTGTGGTCTTGGCCTTCCTAGCCACCAAACCAGGTAACAGGGCAAGGAACTGGTTGGGGAAGAGTTTGGCCAACTCCATTGTCATTTTCTATTCCAGCATCCAGGTTGCCATCTGCTGCATTTGGGTGGGAACCCCTCCTCCCTTTCCTGACTCAGACATGCACTCCCAGCCAGGACAGATCATCTTGCAGTGCAACGAAGGCTCTTTGGTCATGTTCTACACCGCCCTCGGGTACATGGGCTTCCTGGCAGCCATTTGCTTCATGGTGGCTTTCCTGACCAGGAAGCTTCCAGGGGGCTTCAACGAGGCCAAGCTGATCACCTTCAGCATGCTGCTTTTCTGCAGTGTTTGGGTGTCCTTCGTGCCCACCTACCTGAGCACGAAGGGGAAATATATGGTGGCAGTGCAAGTTTTCTCCATCTCGGCCTCCAGTGCTGGGCTGCTAGGATGCAGTTTTCTTCCCAAGCGCTACATTATAGCATGGAAGCCTGAACTGAATATAAAGGAGAATCTCTTAATGAAAGCCCATGTACAAGTATGATTTGAATTGTTACCCAACACCCCAGTATTGAACTATTCTTCTTCAGATCATCTGGACTTTCCAATCCTGGAAAGAAGACCTGTTCCAAAGAAGACAGTTGCTGCTGTAATCTCACTGGATCTGCTTTCTCTCTGATATTTTACTCTAGCTTTGAAAGAAACCTGTTACTGCTCTTGTCATGTGTTGTCAAGTCATCTTTATCTGATGGTGACGCTATGAATGAAACACCTCCATAATGTCCTATCCATGACAGTCAGTGGTATGGTATCATCTGCATATCTGAAATTAGTGGTGTATCTTCTGTCAGTTTGCACTCCTTCCTCTGAACCTAATCCAGCTTTCCTTGTTGTATGTTCATTTACAAATTCAGCAGATAGGGATATCAAATGCACTTTTGTCTGAATGCTTGTCCTATGAAATCGTTGTTTTTCCATATTCTGTTGTCACAGTAGTTTCTTGTGCACAGTACAATTTCTGCATCAGGACAATTGAGCGCTGAGGCACATCCACATCTTTCAGGACCATCCATAACTTCTAGTGATCCACATAGCCCTGCCGTGGTGTATAAAGCATTAACTGGCCTTTTTTTGACATTCTTTGGTGAGCACCAGTACCCAGCCTACATCTGCAATGCAATCTCGAATGTTTCTTCCTTTTCAGGAGATTTTCCTTTCCTAGACAGTTTTTAGCTGCCTTGAAATGCTTCCATTCTGAGGCTTCTTGTGGTGGCTTTTCAGGGTCAAATTGAGGTGGCAGTACAGTGGCATTTTGAATGAGGCCCAATAAACTGAAG